GGATCAAATAAAGAATATCTTGAGTTCTGTGGATGGCGAGATTATTAGGAAAGTTGTAAAAAAAATGTAATTAAGCCTGAGCCTTGAATTTTTCAACCCTATTCTCAGCTACTCAATTTGTGTTTGATTATACTTTTGCAAAAATTAACTAGCACTTACATTGGTAGATAGTACCACAGCTTGTAATTTCATGGAGGGAACAAGTCTTCTTCCTGGGCTATCTTTAAATTGCCAGGACATGTCACTCGATGGCAATCGCCAGTTGCTGGATTAGGTTATCTGAATATGTTTGCGTGGTTTTTTTGGCCTGCACCTCTCTCCATCTCCATTTCATTCTCGGCCAGCCTGTTATTTTCCTCCTGTAACTCTTCAGGCAACATGACAAATGCCTCTCATTTATCCTCTTGGCCAAGCACTACTTTTTACCCTGTTGTGCGATTTACCCCCCTGGCGTAAACTTCTTGGTTTTCCAGCCCAGCCTGCCTCCTCTCCAAAAAGAAAGGGGGAAGGCCAACAATCTTCGTGAGAAATAAAAAACTGATCTCGTTTTTTCTTTCCAGATTCTTGAGGGTTCGTGATAATGGGCCATAGACACCCTGACTTTCTCAGTTCCTCAAACTTTACATCTTCATTTTTGTCACTCTGGGCCTTCCTTGTCTTTATAAAGTACCTCTTATCTCTGAGATACCTGTGTTTTTTCTCTCCTGTTTGTCTTCTGTAGTGAACCTGTGGGTAGCTGCTCTCTTTGCACAGTTCCAATATTTACAAATTTCATTCACCACAATTTAGTTAAATAACACAAGGCCTCCAACAACATGGTTCAAATTTCAGTTACCATGATATATTAGCTCTGAGTAATTGTATAAAGTACAAATTCTCTGCTAGCTCTTTAATCCCCAAATCACCACATAAATAACAGGTGCACAACGTGATCATGACCAGTCACGTTGCCTCTTTCCTGGTCTATCAGTGCTTGGTCACTATGCATTGCTACTCACTTCACCCTAAGACATCAAGTGTGTGGTGTCACCTCCTCATCTCCACTGGTAAACCATGTGCCATGTTAGAAAAATGGATAATTGAAAGAAGGACGTGTTAACAAAGATGTATTGCTGGAAGTGAAATCAGATGTGATTAGAAAGATCGGAAACTGACCATAGCAAAATAAAACTAGGACTAGAGCTGAGCCTACAGGAAATGATGGTACAAGGCATGGTGAACAAGTTCTGTGCCTAGAAAAACCAAAGTGAAGTCATGTCAACATCTTTTCGTTTAAGTTGTGCTAGAGCAGAAAGATGCTTATGGTGTAAATAGAGTATTTACTTCTACTTTGGATTGAATACTATTAAAAATAAATCCCGGGCCGAGCCCGTGGCGCACTCGGGAGAGTGCGGCGCTGGGAGTGCAGCAGCGCTCCCGCTGCGGGTTCGGATCCTATATAAGGATGACCGGTGCGCTCACAGCGCTCACTGGCTGAGCGCGGTGCGGTTGGTCTCAAAATAGATAGATAGATAGATAGATAGATAGATAGATAGATAGATAGATAGATAGATAGATAGATAGATAGATAGATAGATAGATAGATAGATAGATAGATAGATAAAAAAATATATATATTTATATATCCCGATATATATATATCCCGATATATATATCCCGATCAGTTTGGCTAACATTCAGGCCAACGTGTTAGTTGCCTCATTGAAATAAAATGTTAATTAGAAAAATATTGAAGAAGAACATTACTGTCAGTAAAAGATGGTTTCATCGTTTAAGAAGTTGTCATGAATTGACTTATGTTAAACTATTTGAGGAAGCTGCTAGCGTAGATGAGAATGCTGCCGTGAAACTTGCACCCAGATAAAGAAAAAAGCAAACATTTTACTTAAATAAAAGTTGTATCCAGATTCCAAAGATGAGTTAAGGCAGATGTTATGATAATTTATAAGGAAGGAAACCCATGAAGAACTTAGCAAAAGGAGTGAGATCGTGATGTGGTCATAAAAGAGTTAAAGATAGATTAACTCTGTTACTAGGAGGCAGCTGCAGAGAATGACTAAATAAAACCTGTGCTTATCTGGCTAGTTAACTATGGCCAAGAAAAAACAATTGTGGGTTTCTGGGTACAGTCCTGGGAATGTGAGGGAGAGATCCTATCAGGCAAAGTTTTCACCTTAATGCTTAATTGTCTAGGGGGTAAAAATGAGACAAACCATCCTTAGTTTAGAAAATGACATTTTGCCAGGGAGAGAGAAGCTTAGAAATCCCTTGACTTGTGAGATTTAATATTCAGAAATTAAGTGAAGGCAGTAAATTGTTTCAGAATAGGATGAAAAGGAATAAGACTTTAATATGAAAGCTTGTATTCTGTGAATTTGGGTTTTGTGTTGTCCTCCCCTTCTTTCTTCCCAGTTCCTTTGTGTAATGGGTATTACTTTTCTGAACATTCGTGATAATGGGCCATAGACACCCTGACTTTCTCAGTTCCTCAAACTTTACATCTTCATTTTTGTCACTCTGGGCCTTCCTTGTCTTTATAAAGTACCTCTTATCTCTGAGATACCTGTGTTTTTTCTCTCCTGTTTGTCTTCTGTAGTGAACCTGTGGGTAGCTGCTCTCTTTGCACAGTTCCAATATTTACAAATTTCATTCACGGGGGGGGGGGGGGCGGGCAGGGAACGGGGAGAGGAGGAACTAAGCAATGCTGTTTTTTTCTGATTATTTTATAGCCTCGTTTATAGCAAAATTTGAGAATGTGTAAAAATATATTTTAGTAAAGCAGAAATTACGTTGTCTAAATAAATACCTCTCCAAGTTAAATGGAGGATAGGTATTCATAGCTTGAAAAGCTTGAATTCATAATTCATAGCTTGAATAACTTTTAGGAAAAGTAGTTTGTAATTACTCTATTGGCCCTTTCATGAAAAAAGGAAGTTAAGAAATTTTGTACTTTTACATTAGCTTAAAAGTTATTCCCTTTGTAGGTATGAAGGTAACATAGGTTCATTGTAGAAAACTTGAAACATATAGGACAGCATAAACTCTTCCAGAAATCACTGTAATGTGGACTGCTGTTCAGCTGGTATTCATTGGTCTGTCTTCCCGGTAGTTTCAGCCCCCTGGTGCTGGTCTACATTGGTGCCCTGGTCTGATTAGTCACAGTCCATGCTGTAGCAGTTGCTAAATAATGCTTGAAATCCACCTTTCCTGGAGTCATTACTGTTAAAAATTCTGGAGACTAAAAGTTATTTTATTTATATGTATAAATAAATAAATGTGACACACACATACATGCATATCACATTTTCCCCCCTTTAACACTATATCATGAACACTTTTCTATGAAAACGAGATAGATTGGTTTTCTTTTGTGAATTGCCTACTTTTGGACTTCATCTTTTTTCTATTGGCTTTCATCTTTTATTAAAATTTGTAGTTACTTTTTTTAGAAACTCCCTTCTTGGACTTTACAAACTCTTGCATGCATACCTCATATCAGAAATAGAAAAAAGAAAAGCTTACTGCCTCTCTTTACTTTTAGCAAGAAACACACTCATGCTTTTTTGAGTGAGGAGGTAGAATAAACTTTTGGTAAATGACCTGATTTAAATGTACTCCTTGGAACTGGGAGCCCATAAGGTGCCTGGCAGACTAGACTCTGCAAAAAAAACCCACAGTACTATGGGTGCTGTTGGTTGGTGGTGGCCATTCACAAAAGATAGCTTCCAGGAGAACCTCGTTGGTGTCTGTAGGTTTGCCGGATGTGATGTTGCGACTGCATTCATCTTAGTGCCAGGCAAAGATCCAAGGCTTACTTAAATTTAAGTAAATATTTTCAAGATCCAGATGATTAATATTTTTAAAAATTACTTTGAGGTCAGAGAAGCTTCATGATTTGACTCTAATATGTGGCTGCATCAGCAGGTTAATTGGAATGTTTGTATGCATGTGCAGCCCTTTTTGGGAAGGGTAGGATCCAGTAAAAGTGCAGCTCTGTGAAATCAATCCCAAATAACTGATTCATTATGAATAACTTGAAACATTTTACTCTTGTAGTTTGTGGAGTTAACTCAGATTTTATATTCAAACACTGTTCAGATTCTGGTAGTCTTTGGTGAATTGGGTTAGGTGGGGAATATTTATCAAATGATGAAATTAAAGAATATGATACCAACATCATCTATATTATATGTTTAGAGAAATAAAGTAATCCTTCCTTATCACTTCATTGCAAAATTTGATGTTAACAGCTGGCTGGTATCCTTTTCTGCTTTAGTGCTCACTTGACCTGGTAGTCCTAGCTTAGATGGGTTATTCCAGCTGTTTGAACTATATAGGTTTGAGTCACTATATTTTGGATCATTCAGAACTGAGTATTGTTTTTTCCCTCATTAAACACTATGTTTATACAAATACTTTTGACATAGTGAAATAAACCATATGATATTTGTGTACTTTATCTTCCTGATTAGACTAAAAGTACCTTGAGGGGAAATACCTGTGTTTACAGTTTTTAATCCCAAAGTAAGTAGCACAAAACCTTGCAGCTAATGAAAGTTTAAAAATAATGATTCCCCTTCAGAATCTTTGATTTATGTATAAACAGGCCAGTTTGACAGGAAAAATACAGTGGATCTAGGCAATCTAGTCATGAATCTCATGGCTGACACCTGCTTCAAAGAGTGGGTCTTGTACAAGTCCATATGCATCATGTGACACATTAAAGTAGTTTTTGATTTGATGTAGAACCTTACTAAATATGTAATTGTCATCTAACTTAATATTTTTTCTTTCTTCCAGTGGCTGAGGGGCCTCTTTAGTTGTAGCAGGTATTATGTTCACTTTCTTTACAAGTCTCTGCCTAGGGATTGATGTTACTACAGACTTCCACAAGATGGCAGACCAAACCTCTTTTTCACGTTACTAGGTTTCAAACAATTTTTAACACACCTTACTTGTGCTCTTGATTACTGTTAAAATCTTTATTGCTTTTTCTTTAGGTGGGCAGTATCAAACCGAGAAATGCTTATAGCCCAAAACAGCTCCTTGGAATTTAAGCTACACAGACTCTATTTTATTAGCTTGTTAATGGGTGGAACTACAAATCAGCGTGAGGCATTACAATATGCTAAAAATTTTCAGCCATTTGCCCTAAATCATCAAAAAGGTAAGTCTGGAGTCAGATGTTTTGATTTTTTGATTTTCTTATTTTTTATTTTTTTTGGTGGCTGGCTGGTATGGGGATCCGAACCCTTGACTGTGGTGTTACAAGGCAGTACTCTAACCAACTGAGCTAACAGGCCAGCCCTGGAGTCAGAAGTTTTTAATGTGTGGAACAGGGCTATAGCCACCACTGGGATTTAACAATTGTTTAATAAAGTAAAACAATTGTTGATGATAATCCCATACAGAAAAGGCTCTGGCTTTAGAAAAAAAACGAAACATTAAAGCCTCTTAAATGAAAAGTCAGAATGAGGCATTGCAGATGTGGGGATTCCATATTAAACCAAGGATACATGAGAAAGAGCAAGGTGTGCACTTGCCGTCCCCTCCCCCCCTGTCCCCCGTCCCCTGATGCTGCTGCTGTTGCCTTGACAAAGAGTCGGGGGGGGGGGGGGGG